CCACTATCAAATAGTGAGTTAATTTTGTTTGTGGATGGATCATGATTTGCATATGGCATAAAATTAGTTCTGACAATGGCAAACACTTTGTTAATAAAGTTATTGCAACAATCACACAGGCATTACGCATCAAGCATAGACTTGGATGTGTTTATCATCCACAATCACAGGGTATGGTTGAACGCCAAAATGGTGTTCTTAAGGCCAAAATTGCTAAGCTATGTGAGGCGAGTGGACAGAAAATTAATTGGCTAAATGCCTTACCATTAGCCCTAATGAGCATGCGAATGTCGACTAATTGTAATACGCATCTGACTCCGCATGAGATGCTTACTGGACGGCCAATGCCAGTAACTTACTTGAGGGCACCTACTAAAGGTCCCCGGCTCGAGCAATTGCGAGATGAATTGCACGATTATGTTACATATTTGACTAAAATTCATAGGGAGATTTTTCGTGACGTTAAAGGTGCTACTGAAGGACGAAGATCAGAGATTAGAGAGGAGAAACTGAAAAAAGTGCTTCCAGGTGATTATGTCTATATAAAAACCTTCAAAAAAGGCTGGCAACAACCACGATGTGAAGGTCCTTTCAAGGTGATCCTTGCTACCCCAACTGCAGTTAAAGTGGAAGGCCGAAAAGTGTGAATTCACTTGAATCATTGTTCAGCTGCTCCAATAGCACTCAGACCCTCAGAACCAGTCCAGCCAGAGGGACAGGACAGCCAAGACGACTCTGCAGGGGAAGGACCAAGTGGATTCTCAAGACCGCGAACCAGTGCAGCAGCCCGCAAGGAATTGAGGCCTCCTGATAGAGAGGACAGTGACGGCCCGGATTCTGAGCCAGAAGACTTAGATCCACTGTCAGAACCAGACTCACCAGACACAGACTAAGGTAGGACAAAGGAGGGTGTGCAGGAGCCCAGTTGAGGTGGGAAGAGTGCTGATAGGGCATGCCTGCACTCTGAGCACCAATATACTACAAGAAGGGTAAATGCTCCCCCTGCTTGCCAGAATCTTTCACACACACACACACACATTAGCACATACATATCCACAAACATGTTGCAGATTTCAGTTTCATTGCTAGCCATCACATCCCTTATCAGTTGCACGGTGTTAACGTTGACAATTACTGAGGGCCCAGATGCTACTTATGCCCAACAATTGATAACTGCAGATAAATATATGTGTGTAAGCCCTACATATCAGCATGACCCTTCTTGGGTCTGTAGGCGATGGGATGAAGTATGGTGGAATACAGGTGTTAATGGTTACACTTACAGACAGTCTACATCCAAATGGAAACAATTCCAGAATAGCCTTATTCAAGGTGGTAGCACACACCCATGCTCAAAGAACTGTAATCCACTATATCTCACCATTAACTATGCGACTGCACTGATGAATGGGACGTTCGGCCTAGGAGCGGATGTCTCAGGCAGAGACCCAATAGGTAGATTTAAAATTGTAGTGCTTAAGCCAAACACCACTACTTCACCTACAGTTGTTCCAGAAATCAAGACTCTTTCCTTTAGAGACTCTGATGATGTGATAGCAGTAGACACTGGATTTAAAGATACAAATAAATGGACTGATTGGATACATTACACTGCACTCACCCTAGGTGCAAAAAATTGCTATGCATGTTCCACAGCTAAGCCATTGCTGACATCATCACCATTCCAGCACTGATAGATGACTATAACTGTACACTTTGTTTGTTGACTTTACTGTCTAGTAGGGTACTTCCAAACGACTCTGACTGTGCTGATATGCATTGGAAATTTCCACTAGTAAAAAAGATGGGACATATCCCACCCCGGTTCGAACCTGGTAAAGGGAATTACACGTTTCACTCGACATGATATAGATGGTAAAGACGTAGGACGCTTTCCCCACTGTGCACTCACTTACAATACGACTGATATCCCAACTATGAATTTTTCCACTATGTTAGTTGCTAGAGCAGATGTTTGGTGGTACTGTAAAACAACCACCCTAAGGCCTACCCTGCCCAAGAATTGGAAGGGCACATGCGCCCTTGCAGTACTTACTATGTCTGTAGCTATAATCACCTTACATGACAATACAGCTCACCATAGACGCAAGAGATCAGCTTCTGTTCCTGGCAGTTTTGACAACACCATTTACATTTATGCTATTGGGGTCCCTAGAGGGGTCCCTGATGAATTCAAAGCGAGAAATCAAATAGCAGCAGGCTTTGAGTCAGTTTTATTGTGGTGGTCTACTACTAACAAGAATGTAGACTGGATCAATTCCATCTATTACAACCAACAGCGATTCATTAATTACACTAGAGATGCTGTTACAGGACTAGCTGACTTCTGGAGAGGCTCATCGACACGGCCCTAACGAAGAAGGACGCAAGAAATCCTCTCACTAAGGATAGGCCTTGCTGTGTGTAGGTTAGGGGATTTTGCATTGGAGAGTCCCTGAAGTTCAGAAGCATCTAGAAGCTAGTGTATTTTGTTGTGAGGGCAAGCTTACCCCCAAAGAGTGAGGTAAGCTGATAGGGAACTAGTCATAATCAGTTTTGGAACCAGTTTAGAGCTAATTGGTAGCCTTGAAAGGATGGGGGCAGCTTGGATAGCTGAGCATGGAAAGTTTTTACAAAATCAAGGACAGGTGCGGATGGAAATAAGGGTTTCCAACTGAAGTGTAGACTTAAGAAATAATGGGAACCAAAATGATATGAGAAAAGGTGAGAGGGAGAAACAGGATATAAATCAATGTAAATGCAAATATAAATCAAAATAAAATGATGTTTCTGTAATGTACTTTGCATTTGGCTGTCCGGAAGCCATCTTGCCACCTGAAGCTTAAAAAAAGAAGAGGGCCTTTTCCTTCCTCCAAAAAGAACTCAACGACTGAAGTCTTTTATTCAACTTTCTTTTATTTTTGACTGAACTTTATTTCATTTTGCATCTTTGATGAGAACAAGCAATCAGATTTATTAAAGATCTGAAATATAGTTATAGAACAGACTAGTGTTTAATTATCCATATGTTGGGGCTCTGAGCGAGCGGGAATCGCACTTCCGTTAGCCTACAACAGACTGTCTAAAGTGGGCCACACAATAAAATAACTATCTGCCTCGCTCTCCTACCTCATAAACTGGTAAACAGAGTAGCACATAGTTTGTTGTTGACACCACCAGTCTCCATTCGCCCTGGGTTGTTCTGCTTCAGCCCCGGTGAGATCAGTCTCTCTCTTCCTTTTTTGATCTCTCTTCTTCAAGCCTCAGCAACTCATTTGTGTATTCTGGTTCAAATCGATATGGCTCTATGACATTTTAGAAACAGACCTCCGTTCATGCGCATTGATCTCAGTTGAGAATGTGGTTTTGAGAGGAAACGCAGAAGTGATTCTGGAGTAATAGTTTATTTGCGAATGCAGACCATGCCTTGGTAAGTGAGATAATGAGAGGAGGGGAACTCTGAGGAAATTTTGGGCTGGAGTTCAGAACGGCTTCTGTGGATCACGAGAAGGCCGACCCCCCTATCAAAGATCAAGTGCAGGCGTGGACAAGGTGGAGGAGAAGGGGAGGAGGAGGGGTGTGAAATTTCGTCACGAGTAGGAGGAGTGAAGGACTGGTATTAATAGGAAGCTGAAATTGGGAAGGAGGAGTTTAGGCGTGGTCTTTCCTCAAACTTTAGTTATGTCATAATTCCATTATATGAAATACAATTATGCCAAAACTTTATTACAAAACTATCGCAAAACAATGTCTCGGGTATCAAGCAACACATTCATAACCATTTTGTATAATAACTTAATGGGATGTAGCTTTTAGAGCCATTAAATGCTTCAGACATCTGGTTCTCAATTTTGACTCTGTAAATTTCTCTAGAAAGGTGCATTTCACACTGAACCACTCTGAGTGATTTTGTTTACATCTAAACCATTGAATGATTGAGTAATTTTGTGAAATCGGTGGAGCTCCCCTTTAAGGTCAATGTACACGATTCCACAATAAGAAAGACACTGGGCAAAAATGGCATCCATGGGAGAATTACAAGGCACAACCACCGCTGACCAAATAGAACACAAAGGTTCTTCTCACATTCGCCAAAAAACATCTAGGTGACCCCCAAGACTTTTGGGATAATATTCTGCGGCCTACAGAGTCGAAGGTGGAACTTTTGCTACATTTGATGTAAAGCTAGCACTGCATTCCACCATAAGAGCATCATACCATCAGTCAAATATGGTGGTGGTTGTGTAATGGTCTGGGGTGGCTTTGCTTCTGCAGGACCTGGATGTCGTAACTGATGGACCCATGAATTCTGCTCTCTATGAGAAAATCCTGAAGGAGAATGTCCGCCAGTCAGTTTGTAATATAAAGCTAAAGCAAATGGCTCAAAAAAAAAGAAAATTAAGGTTTTGGAGTAGCCGAGTCAAAGTCCTGACTTGAATCCCATTGAGATGCTGTGGCAGGTTAAATTAAAACATTTCTGCAAAGAAGAGAGAAAGAAAAAAATCCTCCACAGCGATGACTCATCGTAAGTTATCACAAACATTTGATTGCAGTTGTTACTGCCAAGGGTGGCACAACCAGTTATTATGTTTTGGGGGCAATAACTTTTTTTACATAGGTGATATAGGTTTTAAATAAATCTTTATCTTGAGTGAATGGAATGATCATTTAAAAGCTGAATTTTTTGTTTACTTGTGTTGTCTTTATCTTATATTAAAATTAGTTGTAAACATCACTTGTCAGACTCCAAATATCTATATAAGCAATGATGCCAGGCATAGAAAGTGACTGGCTAGGGACACACCGCACCACTTACAATGTCCAATCAGTTGCTATCAGCCTGCTGTGGACACTGTATGTCAAGAACAGAAAACTGTACAGACGTTGCTGTAAATCAGTCAGGTGGTTCTTATTTTATGCTAGTTTAGGTCAGGACAATTATGCTTTTAAGACCATTTAAAAGCGTGACATCAATTTTTGTATTCAAATGTACTAAGAAAATGCTGGACAATTCCTCTAAAGAGTTCATGTTTGTGCTTCATGGACTGAATGACTCAAGGACAAACAAACACATTTACTTTGCGTTTGGTCTTGTTGTTTATATTGTGACTCTGTTTGTGAATCTGACTCTAATTATCACAATCATTCTGGAAAAAACACTTCATGAACCCATGTATCTGTTTATATGCAATTTGTATGTGAATGGAATATGTGGTGCTTCTGCTTTCTATCCAAAGATTCTTGCTGATCTTTTTTCAGACTCTCATGTTATTTCATATACAGGGTGCCTGTTACAAATGTACATCATTTACTGTTATCTTTTCTGTGAATTCACATGTTTAACAGCCATGGCATATGACCGATATGTAGCCATTTGTAAGCCTTTAGAATATCACAACATTATGACATACAAGACAGTGGTAAATTTGCTGGTTTTTATCTGGCTATTTTCCTTACTACAGGTATCTGTTGCAACTGTACTGACAGTGCAAACACCTTTATGTGGTAATGACATTGACAAGCTTTACTGCTTTAACTGGGATGTTGTTAAGCTTTCCTGCACAGATGTCACTGTGCACAATATATATGGGTACATTGTAATGTTTTTTCAGGTTTTTCAAGCTGTGTTCATAATTATTTCATACATTTGCATCATCAGGGCTGCGTTGAAGTCCAAGACAGAGCGAGTTAAATTCATGCAGACTTGTCTGCCACATTTAATCACCCTCATGAACTTCACCATTTCTGTGTTATTTGATGTTTTGTGTGCTCGCTATGGCAAAGGTCAGGAACTGCAAGCTCTGCGCAACATCTTGGGAACAGAGTTTCTTGTTGTGCCTCCTCTCCTAAACCCCATCATATACGGGTTAAAAATGAATCAGATACGTTTCCGGTTTATGCAACTGTACAGTTACAGACTCAAAGCAGTGGAACAGAGCTTAAATTGATTCTAGACAGATTGTTTTTCTTAATGCAGGTCCTGTAGAGGAACCTTGATATCAATTTCTTCAGACAAGAACAGATCTGATATGAATGGCATGACACAGCTGCATTTCAGATATGAATACAGCAGTGGAGGTGTCCACTACTAAAGAGCAGTTTTCTCTGGGAGTTTCCAGACCTTAGAATTAAACATTTACGTCTGGCATATGTGATATAACCTGGATGGAAGAATAAGCATCAACATTAGGGGTATAACAATGTGAACATTGTGAAAACATTGTGATGACAATGCATTGTGGGGAACGGACATTCTATTAATTGCAATTGAATGCAACCTCATTGTTTGAAAATCAAAGCTTACAAATGATCAGCACCAACAACTCACTCCGGCAGTCCTCCTGCCCACCAGCTTTACTGTCATTAGCAAGTTGTGCAACAACATTATTATAGTCATTTTCCTTCATTTGAATTTTGCTTGAAATATTGCAACAGTAATAAATCATGAACCCAGTATGATATTTAATCATAGGCTATATTTAATCATATTGTTAAACCCATAATCAACATTTATAATTCTTTTGTGTTAAGCTTAAGATGTCCAAAAATGTATGTATATATATATATATATATATATATATATATATATATATATATATCATATATATATTATTAATCTGACCAAAATAAAATTTTGCAGCTTCTTTAGTTGCATCACTGAACATCATGCTGTGTCCTCAGTTGCTAATGCTGAAGTTACATAGTTGTTCAACCTGATTTTGAAATAAAGATTTAAAGAAATAAAATTATATGAAAAACACATTTTTCTTTTTATTCTTTTTCATCATGAGGCCTAATATGGCCTCTTTCCTCTTTTACTTTTGCTTAAGTTTACTTTCATCAAATGGTTTTTATTTATTCTATGCTTTTTTGTGATTTTGAGATATAGTTCAATGGTTGGCTAGACATTTGGTCATACAGGAAACAGCAGATGATACCTAAAATACTACCACTTATGGAAATTTGAATTAAAGATAAATATTAAATGTGTGGTGCCAGTGGGGAATCAGCATTGGCAATTATTTTTAGTCTAAGATTAGTCAAAACCTTCCCAGGAGTCACTGGCCCACCTAAATTTCACCAAGAGCACATTAATGACTCATCCAGGAGGTAACTCAAGAACCCAGACGAACATCTAAAGAACTGCTGGCCTCACTTGCCTCAGTTTCAGGGGAACTCCACCGATTTTGCAAAAATGACTTAATCATTCAACGGTTTAGATATGAACAAAATCATTCAGAGTGGTTAGGTGTAAAATGTGCCTTTCTAGAGAAATTTACCACGTCGAAATTGTTCACCATTTTAGTACTAGGAACCACACTGTTATGTCTACACTACAAATATTATAATTTTATCTGCCATCCAAAATGATCAGTGAACTTAAATGTGTCTTAATTTTTTTATAAATCACGCTGATAATGGTAAAACAGTGCTAAGTTCAAAATTGATGTTTTCTTTGGGTACTGTTTGTTCCTTACAATGCCCTGCATGTACCTCTCCACCTTTTGTGTTGTTTGGATTGACGGCATTACACAGTGTCAACAAAACTCACAGCTGATGTGAGTAACGTTATTCATCAGAGGAGCTGCAATAGATCTTGCTGGTTTATTGTTCAGAGTGGTGGTGAACTGCGCCGTACCAGGATGCAAAAATAAATGGAGAAACACAGTTCGGTGCATTTTTTTCAGTTGCCGTTACAAGTACCAGAAATCCTAAAGTTGTGGCTACTTGTTTTGAAGCTACACATAAATACCAAAGTCGAACAACTTCACTGACAAAGACTAACTTACTCAAGACCAGTAAAAAAAAATGCAAAGCAGATTTCTTCAAATGTGGGCTGCTAAAGAAATCTGCTGTGGCCTCTGTTGTATTTTCCACTACAGAAACTGGAATCAAGGTGAGAAACATTTGTGAGTGAAATAAATTAGTCATTGTTAGCCACCGTACACATATCAGTGTTAGCCGTTAGCTTACAACAGACTGTCTAAAGTGGGCCACACAATAAAATAACTATCTGCCTCGCTCTCCTACCTCATAAACTGGTAAACAGAGTAGCACATAGTTTGTTTTTGACACCACCAGTCTCCATTCGCCCTGGGTTGTTCTGCTTCAGCCCCGGTGAGATCAGTCTCTCTCTTCCTTTTTTGATCTCTCTTCTTCAAGCCTCAGCAACTCATTTGTGTATTCTGGTTCAAATCGATATGGCTCTATGACATTTTAGAAACAGACCTCCGTTCATGCGCATTGATCTCAGGTGAGAATGTGGTTTTGAGAGGAAACACGGAAGTGATTCTGGAGTAATAGTTTATATATAAAATACAATTATGCCAAAACTTTATTACAAAACTATCGCAAAACAATGTCTCGGGTATCAAGCAACACATTCATAACCATTTTGTATAATAACTTAATGGGATGTAGCTTTTAGAGCCATTAAATGCTTCAGACATCTGGTTCTCAATTTTGACTCTGTAAATTTCTCTAGAAAGGTGCATTTCACACTGAACCACTCTGAGTGATTTTGTTTACATCTAAACCATTGAATGATTGAGTAATTTTGTGAAATCGGTGGAGCTCCCCTTTAAGGTCAATGTACACGATTCCACAATAAGAAAGACACTGGGCAAAAATGGCATCCATGGGAGAATTACAAGGCACAAACCACCGCTGACCAAATAGAACACAAAGATTCTTCTCACATTCGCCAAAAACATCTAGGTGACCCCCAAGACTTTTGGGATAATATTCTGCGGCCTACAGAGTCGAAGGTGGAACTTTTGCTACAAAGCTAGCACTGCATTCCACCATAAGAGCATCATACCATCAGTCAAATATGGTGGTGGTTGTGTAATGGTCTGGGGTGGCTTTGCTTCTGCAGGACCTGGATGTCGTAACTGATGGACCCATGAATTCTGCTCTCTATGAGAAAATCCTGAAGGAGAATGTCCGCCAGTCAGTTTGTAATATAAAGCTAAAGCAAATGGCTCAAAAAAAAAGAAAATTAAGGTTTTGGAGTAGCCGAGTCAAAGTCCTGACTTGAATCCCATTGAGATGCTGTGGCAGGTTAAATTAAAACATTTCTGCAAAGAAGAGAGAAAGAAAAAAATCCTCCACAGCGATGACTCATCGTAAGTTATCACAAACATTTGATTGCAGTTGTTACTGCCAAGGGTGGCACAACCAGTTATTATGTTTTGGGGGCAATAACTTTTTTTACATAGGTGATATAGGTTTTAAATAAATCTTTATCTTGAGTGAATGGAATGATCATTTAAAAGCTGAATTTTTTGTTTACTTGTGTTGTCTTTATCTTATATTAAAATTAGTTGTAAACATCACTTGTCAGACTCCAAATATCTATATAAGCAATGATGCCAGGCATAGAAAGTGACTGGCTAGGGACACACCGCACCACTTACAATGTCCAATCAGTTGCTATCAGCCTGCTGTGGACACTGTATGTCAAGAACAGAAAACTGTACAGACGTTGCTGTAAATCAGTCAGGTGGTTCTTATTTTATGCTAGTTTAGGTCAGGACAATTATGCTTTTAAGACCATTTAAAAGCGTGACATCAATTTTTGTATTCAAATGTACTAAGAAAATGCTGGACAATTCCTCTAAAGAGTTCATGTTTGTGCTTCATGGACTGAATGACTCAAGGACAAACAAACACATTTACTTTGCGTTTGGTCTTGTTGTTTATATTGTGACTCTGTTTGTGAATCTGACTCTAATTATCACAATCATTCTGGAAAAAACACTTCATGAACCCATGTATCTGTTTATATGCAATTTGTATGTGAATGGAATATGTGGTGCTTCTGCTTTCTATCCAAAGATTCTTGCTGATCTTTTTTCAGACTCTAATGTTATTTCATATACAGGGTGTATTGCACAAATGTACATAATTTACTGTTATCTTTTCTGTGAATTCACATGTTTAACAGCCATGGCATATGACCGATATGTAGCCATTTGTAAGCCTTTAGAATATCACAACATTATGACATACAAGACAGTGGTAAATTTGCTGGTTTTTATCTGGCTATTTTCCTTACTACAGGTATCTGTTGCAACTGTACTGACAGTGCAAACACCTTTATGTGGTAATGACATTGACAAGCTTTACTGCTTTAACTGGGATGTTGTTAAGCTTTCCTGCACAGATGTCACTGTGAACAATGTTTATGGATACATTGTAATGTTTTTTCAGGTTTTTCAAGCTGTGTTTCATAATTATTTCATACATTTGCATCATCAGGGCTGTGTTGAAGTCCAAGACAGAGCGAGTTAAATTCATGCAGACTTGTCTGCCACATTTAATCACCCTCATGAACTTCACCATTTCTGTGTTATTTGATGTTTTGTGTGCTCGCTATGGCAAAGGTCAGGAACTGCAAGCTCTGCGCAACATCTTGGGAATAGAGTTTCTTGTTGTGCCTCCTCTCCTAAACCCCATCATATACGGGTTAAAAATGAATCAGATACGTTTCCGGTTTATGCAACTGTACAGTTACAGACTCAAAGCAGTGGAACAGAGCTTAAATTGATTCTAGACAGATTGTTGTCTTAATGCAGGTCCTGTAGAGGAACCTTGATATCAATTTCTTCAGACAAGAACAGATCTGATATGAATGGCATGACACAGCTGCATTTCAGATATGAATACAGCAGTGGAGGTGTCCACTACTAAAGAGCAGTTTTCTCTGGGAGTTTCCAGACCTTAGAATTAAACATTTACGTCTGGCATATGTGATATAACCTGGATGGAAGAATAAGCATCAACATTAGGGGTATAACAATGTGAACATTGTGAAAACATTGTGATGACAATGCATTGTGGGGAACGGACATTCTATTAATTGCAATTGAATGCAACCTCATTGTTTGAAAATCAAAGCTTACAAATGATCAGCACCAACAACTCACTCCGGCAGTCCTCCTGCCCACCAGCTTTACTGTCATTAGCAAGTTGTGCAACAACATTATTATAGTCATTTTCCTTCATTTGAATTTTGCTTGAAATATCGCAACAGTAATAAATCATGAACCCAGTATGATATTTAATCATAGGCTATAGTGAATTATATTGTTAAACCCATAATCAACATTTATAATTCTTTTGTGTTAAGCTTAAGATGTCTAAAAATGTAGAACGGTATTGATATATGTATATTGATATTATTAGTCTGACCAAAATGACAGATAAAATTTTGCAGCTTCTTTAGTTGCATCACTGAACATCATGCTGTAGATTACAGTGATTTTACCCTGTCTGCTGTGTCCTCAGTTGCTAATGCTGAAGTTACATAGTTGTTCAACCTGATTTTGAAATAAAGATTTAAAGAAATAAAATTATATGAAAAACACATTTTTCTTTTTATTCTTTT